TGCTTAAATTTTGTTTGGTGTTCTTCGAATGCACAAATAATCTAAATCTACTCGTGGGCTTCTAGATAGAGCATTTTCACATGCCATTGTGCAGAGAATAAATTACATGTAGCCATTGAATACCTAGGAGTAAAAACAGATGAACACACTGAATTTAGAGGCTCAGTGTGTTGCTGCACTTCGCATGGTTGAGAAACAATGAAGTGGTCCCCAGAGTGAAGAGACAATCTCTAGAATGGGGAAAAATTTTGCCAGCTACTCCTCAGACTGGAGACTAATCTAGACTGTATAAAGAACTCAAAATATTAAACCATCTAAAATTAAAGACCCAGTCAAAAAATAGTCAAAATAAATGAACAGGCACTTCACAGAGGAAGAAATACAAAGGTCAACAAGTATATGAAAAATGTTCAATATCTCTGGGTAGAAGAGGAATGTAAAAACAGTGCTAAGATTCCATCTTACTCTGGAAAGAATGGCAATCATTAAGAAAGCAAACTCCATAAGACCTAACTATCTTCCTTCTAGATATCTTCTCCAAAGAGTGTGAGACAACATACTGTAGTGATACATGCATGCCAATGTTTATAACAGCACAGTTTGTAATAGCTAACTCCTGGAAACAGCCTGTATACCCATTAACAGATAATTGGATAAAGAATATATGGAATCTATTTACATATAATAGAATACTACTTGGCTATAAAAATGACACTTGAAACATCTGTAGGAAAATGAATGTACCTGGAAAATATATTGCTGAGTAAAATAAACCAGACACACAACCTTAACTATTATATGGTATCTCTCACTTGAGTGAGGCTAAGCACAAAGAAAGAGAATAATAAAGAATGGTTAGAAGGGCAGAATCAGGTAGAATTCTTGCAATAGACAAGTGGTCCAAGGGAACAAAGGCAAGGGGTGAGAAGGATGAGAAGGGGAAATAAATAGAATAAAGATAAGCCATGTACAGGAAACTAATAATCTCAATGAATGGAAGCATCATATGCCATAACATGAGATAAGATAATAATGTTAGCAAAAATGAAACTTGGGATAGGGAAATTAGAGAAAGAGGGAGGGAGGGAGGAGAGAAGGGGAATTAAAAAAATAAAGAAACAAGCTGTATTATGTACAGGTACCCATCCCCCAAGAGACCTATAAACTGCATGTACTGCAAACATATATTAGTAAAATTTTTTAAAAAGTAAAAAAAAGGGCAAGGGATTTAGCTCAATGGCACAGTGCCGGCTGGCAAATGCAAGGTCCTGAGTTTGATTCCTCGTACCTCCCCCCAAAAAGTAAAAAAAAAATTAAAAAGACTGATGCAATAGGCACTGCAGAGATAGAATAGGCAAAGCTTAGTGAAGGTTTGGGTACTGACACATGAAAAACACAATAAGGGGAATGTTTCACGAAGATGAATACAGTGCCACTGTAGGGAAGATTCGAAGAGGGAGAGACTGGAATATAGGAACCAATGAGGAGATTACTGAACAATTCTTGGTGAGAACAAGCAATGAGAGCAGGAAACGAAGGACAATTCTAACCTAGAGAGGAAAACTTGTACTACTTAATGGTGAATGAGGGTGAAGAGTGAGATGGCTAAAAGTGGCTGAGGTTTCAAGCCTGGATGACTAGATCATGGTGGTGCTGCTATTAACAGAAAGACAGAAGTTAGAATGAGAAGCTGATGGGAGGGGAAACATCAATCACAGTGAAGAAGAGAAGGCAAGAGCATGATATAGGGAGGTATCTTCACAACAGATTTTAAAAGAACATGAAAAAGTATAAGTATAGAAAACCAAAGATGGAGCTAAAGAGGCACAACAAACTTGTAAAAATAGGATTAGAAGTAAGTCTTGTCGATATGCAAGGTATGTACCATGGTTGTCCCTTGATTGATATGTTTTGAATTTTGTTTTAGTTATTTTTCTTTTTCTACTAGAAATAAAATGGATTTGGAAAAAATAAAAATAAACCTGTTACATAATAAGTACTGAGAAACATTTGTTGTTGAATGGATGGGCTCAAGCTTGTAAATTTTTTTCCTTTGTGACACATCAACATTCAAGATTTTTGCCGTTTGCAGTTGTCATGTGAAAAAGAAGAAGGAAATGCCTTCTAAATAGTATTTTGTTTCTGTCTGTTCCAGACTAGGAGAGTGGTCCTGAATCTGGTGGAGAGACAAACACAGCTGCGAGAAGAGCAGCACGAGATGAGTGAGGAGTGCTTGTGGTGCTTTGCCACTGTAAGTGAGTGTAGAGCTGGTGAAATACAGAAGCACGGGTTAAACTAAAGGGAGAATTAGCCTCAGGGGTATAGTCTGTATTTATCTGGATGTATCTGAAGTAGGGAATTTTTCAAAAAAGTTAAAAACATGGGCTTTGTAGTCAATAGAAGTAGGCTCAGCCAGGAATGCACGACTGCAATTCCAGCCATTAGGTTGGGTTTTGTTTGGTTTTGTTCTTTTGCTGGTGGTTTTAGTATTTTGAGACAGTCTCCCTTTGTAGTCCACACTGGCCTGGAACTCACAATCCTCCTGCGTTAGCCTCCCAAGTGCTGGAAGTGAGAGAAATTTCTCCTGAGTGATATCATCTCCAAGATTCTCAGGAACTGGGTGGAGTAAGTAATAAACTGAGCTGTTGATAACTAACATTCAGAACTGGTCTGAGGTCTGTGTTCTGCAAAGTCAGGAGGTGTGTGCTTTTCAGATAGGAAACATGTACTCAGGGGAATGTGGGCTTTGAAACAGGAAAAGAAGTCTGCTTCTGATAGTGATGAAGAGGCAGTGCTGTGCCATTCTGTTGCCATTTGTATCCTGTTGGGTCAAAACTTTGTTCTATATCTGTCCTTGCATTCAATTTGCAGTTATTTTACTTTAATTTGTAAGCATTGCATTACTTTCCTGTGTGTTTGCACTCTTTTGTTTTCATTTCAGAGAATGCCATCCGTTTGTTCAAGTCAGAAATTAAGCAGTTATCTGATACTTCCTCTTCCGAATTCTGCACAGCAGATCTTTCACCAAGTTCTTACGATTCTGTCTCTGCTGTATTTCTCTATTAGTTTAGTTTTCTTGTCTCCCAACATGCTAGTCCAAGCCATCATTGTCTTTTGCCCACACTACTGTAATACTCTCTCCACTTTATTTTTTGTCACCATTCTTGTATCTAACCAAGTAATATTTTAAGATTTCTTTTTGGTACCAGCGATTGAACTCACAACCTCGCGCTTGCCAAGCAGGTGCCTGTGCCACTGAGCTAAATCCCCAGCACTGTTTTAAGAATTTAAATCATCATTGGGCATGGTGGTACACTCCTGTAATTCCAGCATTCAGGAGGCTGAAGCAGGAGGACTGCTATAAGCTTAAGACCAGCCTGGGCTACTTACTGAATTCAACACCAGCTTGTATTACAGAGGAAGACCATGCCCTAAAACAAAACAAACAAAAAACCCCAATTTAAATAGATTATGTCATTTATTATGATTTATTTTTCTACTTAAAGTCCAAAGTCTTTAATCTGTTTTACAAAGATTTGCAAGATTGGACTCCTGCTTCCTTATCCAGCCCCACCTTTTGCCCATCTTTCCTCTTGTTCCATGTTTCAGTCACAATGGTTCTTTTGTCTTCTCCTCCACCTCCTCTCCATCTTTCTATTCCTCCTTTTTTTTTTTTTTTAAGTGCTGGAGATCCTTGTACAAAACCTTGCACATAGCACAAAAAAATGCTCTGCCACGGAGCTACATCTCAGGCTTCTGTCTTTTAAGTTGTATAATACTTCTTCTGTTCTTGGTTTTTGTCTCAGCTCTTTCCAGACCTAAAATATTTGCATATGCTTTACCCTGGACCTCAGTGCTCTTCCTGCCACCTTTCACCTGGCTAATCCTACTCATCGTGGACATCGCAGTTTAAGTGTATCTGCCACAGAAAGGCTCCCTTACAGCAGCCTTTTCTTTTTCCTTATAAACTTGTTACAATTAGAGAGGGGAAAGAGAAGTAAAAACAGGTCAAGATGTGACATGCATATGTACCAACTCCTTATGGTGAATATATTTATTTTGTATTGCAAACATATACTAATAAAAAAGATAAGCTTATCACAGTAAAGTGTGTGTGTGTGTGTATATTATGTGTCTCCCATTAAGAGAGTAAGTTTTTTGAGGTCATAGATAATGTATGTGTCTAATAAATATCTTAATCTTAGCACAATGTCTAGAATAGAGCAGGAGCTTTTTGTTTAAAAGAGCCATAATGTCTAGCACAGTGTTAAGTAGTTTTTTTTTTTTTGAGGTAGGGTCTTGCTATGTAATTTAGCCAGGCCTTGACCTTGAACTTACTTTGTAGTTTAGGCTAGCCTTGAACACATGGAAATCCTCCTGTCTCAGCCTTCTGAGTGCTGGGATTACAGGTATGTGTCACCACATCTGGCAAGAAGGTTTGAAAACACCATTACTTATGAAAAATTTTCCATTGTTCTTTGAATGTTAACCTTACAAAATAAAAGATCTTTTCTTTTTTGGTACTGGGGATCAAACTTACAACCTCACAATTACCAGGCAAGTGCTTGAACCACTAAGCTCAATCTCCAGCCCGAAAATAAACAATTTTAAAGTCAGTACTATAGACCAGGTGTGGTAGTACATGCCTGTAGTTTCAGCACTTAGGAGGCTGAGGCAGGAGGATCATCATTAGTTTGAGGCCAACCTGGGCTACATAGTGAGTCCAGGCCAGCCTGAACTACATAAGACCCTGTCTCAAAAAAAAAAAAAAAAAAAAATGAATCAATAAATTTAGTACTATCTAACTAAATTTAGCACTTATTCTCTATAGTATTAAATCAACAAAGGAAAGTCATAGTTAGTTCAATTTTCAGAGTATTTCTAGTTTTTTTCTGTCCTCTCTGTGTTGAGACAGATCTGGGATTTGAGAAGGATTATTTGTTTCTTTTCCGTGTTTGATACTTGAACACTTTTTCTAACCTGCGCACATGGGTACTTACCAGCAGGCTGTGACACAGAGCATGAAAATGCTGCTGATTTGTCTCCAGCTCATCCCAGTCCAGCTGCCAGCAGCTCGTGGGTCTAAGGATGAAGGGAAGTCCATATGTCAATGACTCACAGAATCCACTATATTTCAGAGCCCTGGGAAGAAAGACGATGACAGAGAGAGACTCCTCAATAGTATTCAGAGTGTCTATCCAGATCCACTTAAATTCAACTTAGCTCTAAGATCCCACTGTGAAAGCTTTTAGATAATGACCTCTGAATTATTTATCTTTGCACAGCCAGCATCTAACATGGCATCTGATACATTGAAGACTCTCAAAGCTCAGGAATTTATATATGCATGGGTTCTATGGCGCTGGAAAGCAGAAAAAGTGGCCTTTGCAGCCACTGTTAATTCTACTGTAGAGCTGATTTCCTTGGAAGTAGAAATTCTAGTACCTAGAGAAATGGGAGGGGGAAAGACAGGTTCTGTGTACACTTGTTCCTTGAAAGCTGGAGCTCTTGTACTGATATTTAAACATAAGTAGCCATTTCACAAATATTCACTGAATGGTTAAACACCTTTCTACTGATCTTGCTTTCAAATACTTGTGTTTAGAGACTTTTATGGATTTCCAATTCTCGTCTAGTCTGCCAGATGTTCTGTTGCAATATTTCTTTCACCATCTGACTTCATTTTTTTCATGCCACACTTGTAAATGGTATCTTAGAACTGATTCTTGTCTGCCTAAATCTCTGGACTCCTAGCCATGGAACCAGTAAGAATAGCATTTTCGTGAATTGGGAAGGTTCCCTTGGACCATACTTGATCACTTGGAGCTTGAAATGGGAAGCTGATGACTGGGAGGCCATCTGGTAAACTGTGCTGAGGTCTCCTTTGGGGTCATCCATTCTCAAAGAGCCATCAGCTGTACCAGGGAGCAGGGATGGACTGATAAGTCGTTCTTGGAGATCACATTTCAGGCACACTACAATAAAAGCAGTATTGGAGGAGAAACTATGAGTCACAAGTTACCTCAGGCTATGCTATTAGGAGACAACATCTGTTATTTTATTTCTACCAGGCAAGCAAGGGATGGGAGGAGGCAGGAGAGTGGGAAGAGGAAAGCATGAATAGTTTGGGAAGGTAAATCTGATCTGCAACCCACAGTATGTCTGTAGCTCCACAGGACTGTTAACTTGTTTTCTGCATCTGATATAAATTTTACTTGTTTTACTTCTGGGGTGGGCAGAGCAATTGTCTAGTGGTGAGAGATCTGGCTTGTAATCCAGTCTGAGAGGAACATGCATCCTTTGTGAGGCAGGCAGCTAATGCCAAAATATGTAGGGGCCCTTTTGTAGTCACAAAAGCAAATTTGCCTCTCATGCTTCTCTGTGGCTATGTTTTGGCAAAACTGAAAATCTGATGAAGGAAGAGCAGGAAGCAGAAGTCAGGCAATCAGCTGACTGCTACTGTTTTTTTGTGGGCTCTTCTAGGGACACTCAAGGTTATGGAAGGAACAAGTTCCTTAAACAGTTTATTTTTAATTCCCCTCAAAACCTGAGTGTAGGGCCTTCTGGGCCTCACTGCATTACTTCAGCATTAGACAATAGTTCTGAGCAGGGCGTTAGGCTGAGCATGAGCTAGTTATCTAACTATTACAGTCTTCTGTGTTAAGTGTCTGCTCTAGGAGTTATCTGCATACGCCACAGGGTACAATGTAATGTTTTATAGGCGTCAATCCTTGACATTGCAAAGTTTTTGAATAAAATGCATACTTGGTTTGAATTCTGAGCAAACTTGCAAATATAAAAATGTTGAGTACTTGTGAGAGGCTAGTAGCTGATGGCAGGAATTTGGGAAACAACTGGATTAACTTCAGTATGAGGTAAAAAACAAACATGAAAATAGCATGAAAAAAATAGAGTGGCAGATTTAGCTGGAAATAGCATGAAAAAATAGAGTGGCAGATTTAGCCCAGTGAACAAGACATAGACATTATGGGACGCTCTTGATCTGCTATGTGCCATAGTCCAGAAAGTCAAGAAGAAAGACTTTGCCTAGGACTCTAGCTCCCCTGGATTTCCTCTCTCCATGAGTTCTCCATTGCTGGTCCCCAGTCTTGAGAACTGGGCAGCTGTATCCCTTTGGTTGCCTTAAGAATCATTTAGAGCCTTAAAGAAATACTGATGTATGGTTCTCAATTCAGACCAATTAAGTCAGGATTTCTGGGGGTAGAGCTCAGAGGTAAACATTTAAAAAATGTTCTTAACTGTTTCTTATTGTAGTCAGGGCTGAGAATTATCTGAATTGTTTGTCTAAGCAGTGTTTCAAAGCTGGGGAAGCTGTTTAATAGGGCTCAAATCTAGATCCATGTGCACTTCCAGTACAGGGGTGGCAAAGCCTGCACCAGAGAATAAGAAAAGATACTCATCAGTAGTTGCCTGTGGATTGTCTGCCAGAGACAGGTCTCTAAAAGAAGCACCTACAGATGGGGTAAAGGGCCCTAGGCAACCAAAGAAGCAGGTGATGTGGGCTGGAGAGCCTTTTAAAGTGTCAAAGTAAACATCTGAGGACTGCTCCTCCAAAGAACCTACAGTAGAAGCACTCATGACATTTGTGTTTGCATCATTTTTTGTAGTGAGCTACATGTCCAGAAATTCACATGTGAGGCAATGTATCAGTTTTAAAAATAGCAGATAACTAGAAATATGATTCTTATTGTGATTGCTTATAATTTCAAGGAAGTCCTTTTTGCTGTTGAAGAGGCCTAATTTCCCCAAAGCTCATTCCAGTTGTGCCTGATGCTCTGGATTCCAGTGAACCTCCACAGAAGAAAAGCATCCAGGAATCTGGATGTAAGTTTTACATGCAGATGTGCAGGCTTGAAAACCTGGTTACAGATGGAGATGAACACTCTGGCTCTGACCCTGGTGCTGAAAGCCCTGGAAAGATGGTATGGGGGAAGACAGAAAAATTCGGATTAGAATTATGGGGAGATATCATGTAACACTGGAGTAAGAGTTGGTTGCAGAAGCTCCTGGCCTTTAAGGGCTTCTGACCTTCCCGTGAAAGAAGTGAATCTTTATCTTTTTTGTTCAGAGTTGGCCAGCATGCAGCAGGTTAGTGGTGGATAAGGCCAAGGCTCTGGAGGTACGCAGACCTGGGTTGGTTCTTCGAGCTGAGAATAGTCAAATGTACAAAATATAGATTTCTGAGCTTGGCATAGTGGTGCATGTCTGTAATCCCAACTACTCAGGAGGCTGAAGCAGGAGGATTGCAAGTTCAAGGGCAGCCTGGCAACTTAACAAGACCCCATCTTGAAATAAAAAGGGCTGAGGATGTAACTCAGTAGATCCATAAGTCTTGGGTTCAAATATACATATACACTTGTGATCCTAAGTGTGAAGAATGCACCCTGGAATTGTATGGCTTTTGTGTAGCCCTGTAAAAGTGTTTAATTTCTTTGTCTCAGTTTTTTTCTTGTATAAAAAAGGGACAATACTGTATTTAATGAATTGAAAGACACCTTACTTCTATTAACATCTTTATATATGTCTTACACTTGCCTTTGATCAGACAGACCTGTAACAATTATAATACTTACCAACTCTGACCTAAAAGAACTGTCTTGGTAAGGATCAAATAATACTTCTAATGCTTAATTGGCAATGTTTTCTTTCTTAGTGGCACATAAAATAATGGTCTATCTTGTAATTGATAGCATTTTAAATTCCATAACATATGGTGACAATGCCATGTGTGTGAAGATAAAATGGGCTTAACATAGTGCTCACCACAAAGGGAGGGCTCAATAACGTTAACTGTAAATTAGATCTTTTATAAAGCTGCTTTTAAGAGGGGAAAATGGAAACTGAACTTCAGAGAATGGGTCAGCGAGGAATTGGTATTGTCAGCCTGGGACTAGAAGGGAAGAAGGACTTGGGAAGCAGATTTTGATACACAAAAGAATAACAGATTAAAATCAAGTTAAATTGTCCAACGTGTCCCAGGTTCCAGGTTTAACTAGGGGAGGGAGCAGAGATCTGATGTCTATTCTTTGAAAGAAAAGATCTTCAGAATCCATAATACTGTTTAATTTTATCTTAAAAAGGCTCTTCACTTCCCTGAAGGAACAATGGTCATAGCAGAGTTGTATTACAGTGGAAGAAAAGAGAATTCAAATATACTGCTAATGGCCAAGAAAAAGCCCTCTGAGGATGTAGAAACCTGAACTATGTCATTTCAGAGCTCAAGAAAGGGTTTGGAAAGCAGCATGCCCAGTTCAGTCTTTAACCCTGAATGATCTCTGTAGCTACTGTACAAGTACCGCACGCTAAACGATTGTGCCACTGGATCTTTTGTAGCTACTACTAATCTTCTGTTCAATGAGAAAAACGAGCACAAACTCTCCTAAAGGAGAAGAGCTACCTTGATCCTTTCTGGTAGGAGGTGGGCCGCAGGGAATTGGCTTTCTTAAACTCAGTGTGGCTAATTGTACCGATGGGCTCATCCGACAGCTTTGCCATGCTAGGTCTTGAGCAAATCTCCAAAAGGATGGGAGAGCAGAGACAGCCTTATCCCTACCATTCAGTGAGTTACAATTACCAGCCAGGGCAATATCTGAGATCTTGTTGGCATGCCTGGAGCACTGGACTCAGGCCTTGGCTTCAGTAGTTGTCTGAACTGCTTTGTGAGCAAAGCCTTGAAAGACTTGGGCTTTAGCTTTCTTCAATTTGGTGCCTCCCCAGTGAAAGGATTTCTATTTATTTTAATGGTTCTCTCTCTTGTCACAGGCCCTATTGATATTAAGTAACCAGATGCCTCAAATTATGGTGCCAATAATATTTCCTACATTAAAAATGAGACTACTGAGAAAAACATGATTCATCATATTCTTAGGAATTAGAGGCTGATTCCCTGTTTTTTTTTTTTCATACTGGGAATCAAACTCATGACCTAGCTCTTGCTAGGCAAGCACTTATGCCGCTGAGCTAAATCCCCAGCCCTATTCCCTATTATTTAAAAAAAAATGTTTTAGAGGTAGGATTTATTTTATTCAAAGATAAAAATAAAGTAAATATGAAGGAGAAGAAGAAGAAGAAGAAGAAGAAGAAGAAGAAGAAGAAGAAGAAGAAGAAGAAGGAGAAGAGGAAGAAGAAGAAGAGGAAGAGGAAGAAGAAGAAGAAGAAGGAGAGGAAGAGGAAGAGGAAGAAGAAGAAGAAGAAGAAGAAGAAGAAGAAGAAGAAGAAGAAGAAGAAGAAGAAGAAGAAGAAAAGAAGAAAAAGAAAACTACAACAAAATTTCAAAGCATGTCAATCAGGGATGATTCCCTATCATGGAGGGGGTCTAAGATTTTGTAATTGGTCCTGTCAGGGCTTAATTAGTTTCAGCTTTCACTGTGTCACTTTTTAGAATGTCCTTCCTTGTTTTCATGCTAACACTGTATAACCTCATCAAATCCTCACTCAATCCCTCAGCCTCAACTACCCTGGAGCCTGATGACTCATCAATCTAGAGTCTTGATCCTAAACAAGGATTAGGACACAAGCTGTGTAAGTGGTGGGGAGCTTATGGCATGTGTGACACAGCAGGCCAGGTATATTATTGAAAGATCTAAGAGGCTCACAATCACTGGCCTATATAATGTATCTTTTAGGAGTTCCATACTTGGATTATCTCTGGTTCTGGGAAGGGCACTGAAACACTGTGATGGAAGAAGAAGATGGATGTGTTCTTGGTCTGTTCCACTATTATGTAGCCAAGCTTTGAAGAAAATTTCCATGCTGACAACATCATTTTCTATAGTCTGAAGGTCAATGTCAGTTTCCAGGGTAAAAATCTCTGTAGAAGAAAGGAAAACAGTGGTTAAGATGTTTAATTATATGTTTTAAAAAGTATAAAAATTTAAATACACCTATCTTTTTTTTGTCTTTTTGAGACAAGGATTCACTATGCAGTGAAGACTGGCCTCACTTTGTAGTTCAGGACTCATTTTGTAGGTCAGGTTGGCCTCAAACTCACAGCAATTCTCCTGCTTCAGCCTTCTAAGTGCTGGGATTATAGGTATGTACCACCATGTTTGGTCATTAAATGTGCTTATCTTTTGACCATCAGCTGTGTGTCTAACTATTTAGCCTAGTAGCCAAAGAGACATATGCAAACATATTTATTATTTTAATGTATTATTATTTTAAAGAGTTATTTTAATGGCAAATAATAAAAACCCCAAACAGGAAGTAATTCCAGTACGCATCAATAGGATAAAGCTTAAATAAATTATGGAACACTCAATCCATGGAATTTTATGTAGTTGTTACAAAGTAAAGGTAAATGTTCTGGCATGGTAAGCTAGCAGACAGTAAGTGAATAAAGGATGCTGAAGAACAGATATAATATTGTTCCATTTATATGAACATAAAATTATCTGCCTAAGTACACACAATGTCTGTAAACATACTTTATAAAGATCTAGAAGGTTATCATTAAACTACTAACAGTGAACAGGTAGTGTATATTAGGCAAGGTTCTGAAATATGTCCCCTTTCTATTATTTATACTTCTATATTGTTTGAATTTTATTGTAATTGTATATATATATATATATATATATGTCTTTTTTCAGACAGAGTCTCGCTATACAGTTCAGGCTGGCCTTGAGCTCACTTTGTAGCCCAGGCTGATCTTGAACTCGCAGAGATCCTCCCACCTCAGCCTCCCAAGTGCTGGGATTACAGAGGTGAGCCACCATGCCTGGCTCTGTAATTGCATATTTCTTGTGTTTAAAAATGTTCCAGAATATAAAAAGCAACCAAAATTATATAGCAAAACAAGTTAAATACTTAGTTAACAAGGAAAAACTTCAACTTTATTATTGTTTTACATTAAAATATTACATTTAATTATTATTTTTGTCACAAATTGAATTTTAAGGAAATGAAAAAATGGACTAATGGGTTCCACCTTATGATACAGATTATAAAGTTATTCACCGGCATACTGTCTCATACGTGAGGTTAGCGGCAAAGAGGATGGAGATGGTCTGGTGGCGTATGATTTAACTCCGATGTGAGTGAGTGGTACCGAGTAGGTGGGGTAACGAGGACTTGTTGGTGTGCTTCTGGCCTTAGACAGCACTAGCTTTGGCCTTGGTGCCTGGGTCTGCAGCTAAAGGTTGTCAGTGAAAGCCAAATATATGGTGGTAGAGGAAGCACAGACAAGGGAAATGAGGTAAGAGCTGGAAAGAAAGCAGGGAGAATCCTGACGTTCTTCATCATGAGGGACTTTCTAAACTACATTTACAACGAGCTTAAGAAAAACCAGTTGCTCTAATGAATTAACTTCTGTGTATGACTCACGAGCCACAGAGAGAGGGTTGGTTTATTTCTAGAACGACATTCCTGAGGACAAATTGGTAGAGGTGGCAGACTTTCCATGGAGAACAGAGGGGCTTCAGTTCAACACAGGGGAGTTGTGAGGAGACTATGGTGACTTTATGCCACATTTAATGACTTATCCGGAGGCTGAAAGCAGAGCTCCAAATGAGTTTCTATGGCCAGAATGATTAAAACTCTACCATCTTCCACTGATAGTTACAAAGATTCATCAGTTATTTCATTCATTCTATCAGATATATGACACTATTTGTCCTGAGGAACTTATAAAACATTATTCTTGGCCATTCCCCCTCAATTTCTCATCTGCCTCATGATATTTTAGGATATCATAGTGGTAAATACAAAGCCATTGCCAAAGAAACATGTTTTTCAAGTAAAGGGAAACAGTTTTTAAAAAGTTATGTGAATCTTATTTTGTCACAGGCAAAACAAGAAGTACTTCGATTTTTCTGAGCTGTTTGTTGCCTGAACTTTGACTTGAGTAGCAGGTATAGAAATGAGTTTTTCTTCCATGAGGCAAACACACTGAAGCAAAAGAGGGTAGTCATGGAATTAAACAAAGGATATCAGAAAGTAGGAAATAGTTGCTTAGAGTTCAAATGACAGAATCCTGGAGAAAGAAGGGTAAAAGGTAGGAGGTTAGAAATTTTTACCATGGGCCACGTAAGGGGACAAAGCACAGTTATCTACAAACTGGAAATACAAACTGGGGTTTACTCAGATAGTTAAACTATAAAACCAACACAGAGTAGTAAGTTCAATGAAACCCCTTTAAGAATAGAGTATGGCGTACTAACTAGAACGAGATTTGGCTACAGCCTTATTGATGGTATTGGCATATCCACAGAATGAATGTGTCCACTTCAGGGGGAGAGGACTGGCCAGAAATGGAACACAGAGAGGGGAAGCAATAGGACTGGCAGGTGTTCTCCAAGTGTGGCTCAGAGAAGGAATGCTAGATTAGGCATGTGTCCCAAAAGAAGGGACGTCTGTGTTGTCTCTACTCTTGGTGATTATGGTGGTTATGGCTCATTTCCCAAAATATTCTGCCATACCCTTTAGTTTTGAGCTTGGGATGGTGAGTAGTTTTCTGACAGGGTGCCAACAAAGGAGACTTCCTGGAGAACCAGTCCTGAACATACAGCATCTGTGTGAAGGAAAACCATGCCTCACTTCTCAGATGAGCCAGGCACCCAAGGCAGGAAAGTAGGCATTCTTCTCTGCTGACATCCATCAACCTTCCTGCTGTTCCTCTAATTTCTTAGCCTACACATTCTTGGAAGACCCACAGAGCAGTTTCTTCCTTTGAAAAATTCTCATGTACACATAGAGGTGGTATGCTTCAAGTTTGAGCCTTTGGTTTTGCAGTCTTGGAAAGAAGAGAGCACTCTTTCATGGACAGGTTCGTATTATTCATACTGAGAGCTAATGTATAAACCGGAAGCTTTAAGACTTTTTTTTGGTTTCAGTTTGAAACAAGGTCTCGCTATGTTATTCAGGCTGGCCTTGAGCTCATTATGTAACCCAGGCTGGCACTGAACTTGCAACAAATCTCCTGTCTCAGCCTCTCAAGTGCTGATATTATAGGTGTGTGCCACCACACACAGCCAGAATGCTTTAGTGGAGACTTCTTTTCCATTTTCTCTATCATTGGTTCCAGGTATCCATTTCTGAATTATGGCAGTAGCCTCTTAGCTGTCCTAACAAACTCCTTCTCTTGCTCTCTTAATACTTCTTAGGTATGATTCTCAGTTCAATTTTCTGAAACATAGTTTCTTCAGATCCTTCCTTTGTTACAGAGCCCACATCACTTGCTCATCCTGGTCCACTTGATACAATTCATTATTCTTCAGGTACCCTACCCTTCCTCACTACTGATTGTGTCTCTACTTTTGAGATCCTAATGTTTCTGCCTTTCCAGATTGAGCTCAAATGCTACCTCCTTCATGGAGCCTGCCCTGCTCCACTCTCCACTGATGTATTCCAACAGCTTTTGATGTATGTTCATAGTATATGTAGCCCACAATACATTTTACTTTGGTGCTATGGTTATTTGGGAAAGCATTTGATCTCTCCATTTAAATTAAAACTCTTCAAGGATAGGAATTTTTTCTTTTCACTTGCATCCTTCCCATCCCCTGGCTCAGTGCCCTGCACAGAACCGAAGTTTAGCAAATGCTTGTTGAGCTGAACAGTTGTTCTCATTACTTTTCCTGTATCCTTCCTTCCTCCCTCCCTCCCTCCCTCCCTCCCTCCCTCCCTTCCTTCCTTCCTTCCTTCCTTCCTTCCTTCCTTCCTTCCTTCCTTCCTTCCTGTTTTTATTATTCTGTCAATTCTTGGTCTGCACCTCCTTCAGCATTCAACTCAGAGTTGACTGTTCCGAAGTTATTTTCAAATATATCCACTTTAATTAGTACTCCTGGATTTCCGAGGGCTTCATTCGGGAAATATAATTTAGTTTTAATCAGAACCTTATTTAGTTTCGGGCAGCCTTAAACTTACTATGTTGCTCATTCCAGACTCAAACTTAAAACAATCTGTCTGCTTCAGCCTCCTGAGTGCTGGCATTACAATTATGTGTTACAATGCCTGGTTTGATTTTTTTCTGAAGGTTTTTCTTTCCTTTAACTGAGTTTATAGTAGGTGATGGGATTTAGTGGGAAGATCAAGGCTTGAATTGTGTCTTGAAAGTTGTTAGCTACATGGTTTGGGGGAAAGTAGGAATAGTATAACCTATTTTGTAGATATTATGACATTAAAAATGTGAAATGCAGTAAGTCCAAAAATTGCATTTTATTTCATCAACAAAACAGTTAGTTTATATAAAATAAGAATATATTTCTCACCGGGGATTTAGCTCAGGGGCACAAGCACCTATCTGGCAAGTGCAATGTTATGAGTTTGATCCCTGGTAAAGAGTATGAATTTCTTTCTTTTTTTTTTTTTTTTTTTTGCTTTTTCCTTCTTCCCTTTCTTCCTCCCCTCTGTCTTGTTCTCTTCCCCTTTCAAGTATTTCTTCCTATTTCACAATACCTATTACACATTTTGATCCTTACTTACATTTATTTCCTTGTTCATCTTATTTTTCATACCGGAGAAACAATGTGGTATTTACATGCATGTCAGATTTAAAGAATATATTTCTTTCTTTGCTGGTCATTTCCTTTCATCTCTCTGCTTTCTCCACACCACTACCATACATAAAAACACCAACATATTTCCATAGTCCTCACAAATACAACTAAATGTGTCTACCTCAGGGTTAGAGAGGAGATGTCTCTCTTCTCAAATGCTGAAGAGCAGCTCCCACATTAGCTGGAGATCCGCCCTTTGTTCCTGATGAAATGTTCCCAATCCCAACCCCTGACAGCATAAAAATGTTAGGGTTGCAAGTGTGGCTTTGAGTTTTTGAATCACCCTGTCTAGGTGAAGGCCCAGGTCACTGCA